AATACAAACTCTCGGGCTATATCCAGAACAGCCTGTGAGGCAGGCAGTGAACTACTGCGGGGGTGTGGGCTCTCCAGGAATTTTCAGTTCTGTTCTGTCTGCGCCCACCTCTTCCTGAGTGGACTTCCTTCTGTGGCCACAGTTCCCTGGGGTCACAAGTATCATATGAAAAAGAGGAGGATGAAATGAAATGAGATGTTACTAAGCAACCTTTCTGTGCTTTCCAGCTCCATGTTACTTGAAGGGATTGTATCCACTTAGACATTACTTGGAGTTAAATGCTGCCCCTGCCCAACACTGCAATGTAAGATCTTGCTGGCAAACTTTAGTGTTGATGTAAGATGCAAAGCATAATTTATTTCAGCAACATTTCTTGGAGAATTGTTATGCCGCAGTCAAGAATATTGCAAAGCCAAACAGAAGAAATCTTCCATAAGAAAGTAAAATTGCTACGACTTCAAAGAAGAAAAGGGGTTGCCTTTGGTTGGGGAAATGAAGTATGACCTCCAAACATTTCAGATTTAGGATGTTAAGAAGACATATCAGGCATTGCAAGACAAAGCAAACAAGAAAGGAGCCAGGCCAGCTCTCATAAGAAGCACAGTGTAGGAGTCTCTTCCATATTTCCCGGCTCTGGGTATCCTATACCAGGCAGTAGCTGATGACCTGGTGCAGCCATGCAGGGCTCAGGGCTTGGTGCACAGATGAGAGAAGTTGCTGCTGAGCCAGCGCCCCCTCCCTCCCACCGGCATCCCTGCAGTTAGCACTGAGGAGCCACAGGCACTGCGGCCATCCCCCAAGGCCCAGCCAGAGCTCTGTCCTGCTGCAAGGAACTCAGAGAAGAGCATTAGAGAGAATGGCTGTACCTCCGGGGATGGTGGCAGCCACCAGCACCAGCAGGACCATGGAGTAGCTTGTAGGGAGGATCCTCAGTCCCAACCTTGAGTCAACCGACCCAACCTGCAGCATAGAGCCTCTACTACTGTATTGCTGCATGAGGGCAGCAGGCACAATGGTCATACCACGTGAGCCAGCAGCAGCCTGGAGTGCTAGTGAATCCTAACCTTATAATGATATTTGCATATAAAACTGTTTGAACAAAAAAATACATATATGTATGTATTGGTGTGACACACTCACTGCAGTTTGGAATGCCACTTCAACAAACAATGATGCAAAGAAGGGGGAAGAATGGAAGAACAGAGCAGCGTGTGTGTGTGTGTGTGTGTGTGTGTGTGTGTGTGTGTGTGTGTGTGTGTGTGACAAAGAGTGTGTGTGTGTGAAAGACAGACAGAACTAGAGATGCAGCAGTGACAGGTGTTGGGAGCATGGTTGCTGTGGATCAGGGAGCATGGAATTGCCAAGCAGGACAGGCAGGATGGTGAGCTGCAGCCCGGAGCCCTCACAGACTCTTCCCCTGAACATACTGCCCAGCCCTGTGATCAACCCGGCTCTGAGCAATGGCAGGATATCAGAGATGGAGATGATTCATTTTCTGGATTGGGCCTTCTCAAGAAAACCTCCATGGTCCATGCTGCCACCAGAGGCCAGGTTTCTATGCATGGTCCATGCTACAGCACAGGCTGTGCTGTTGTTCGCGGTCTGGGCTGTCACAGTAGGCTGTATTGATGCCTGTGTTGCTACCCACGGCCATGTTAGTGTCTATAGTCCAAGATACCACCTGGTGCCATGTTGATGTCCATGGTTCCTGTTACTGTCAGAGGCCATGTCAGCGTCTGTGGCCTGTGCTACTGGGGGAGGCCATGTTGATGTCAGCGGTCTGTTCTGCTGCCAGAGGTCTTGTTACACTGTTCATGGTCCATGCTGCCACCAGGGGACCATGTTGATATTTGTGATTTGTGTTCCTGCTGGAGGCCATATTGATGTCCTTGGTCTGTGTTGCCACCTGAGGCCATATTAATGTCCCTCATCAGTGATGCCACTGGGGACCATTCTGACATCCATGGTTTGTGTTACTGCAGGGAGCCATGTTGATGTCAGTGATCCCTGCTATGTCAAGAGGCCTTGTTGAATCCATAGTGGGTGCTCCCACAAAAACCTTGTTGCTGTTCATGATCAGTGCTAGGATTGTGTTAATGTCTGTGGTACATGCTGCCTCTGGAGGCCAGAATGAGATCCATGGTCCATGTTGACGTTGGAGACTGTGTGGATGTCTGTGGTCCATGCAGACATGGAAAACCATGTGGAAGTCCATGATCCATGCTGCCACTGGCTGTTATAAACAAGGAAGCATCTGTTGCAGTGGTATTGATGACCACAGACTCATAATTAAGAGTAAAAGACATCAAAATCTTCTGCAACAACCTCTCTCCCCTCCCAAAGAAAACAGAAAGAGCCTATACAGGAAACCAATGAGGAGAGTCCTTTAAAATTATGATAAAGATGCTGAGGCATGTTTCTTCACAGTTATTGGCTTCTAGTGAAGGGATGGGAAAGGACTCAGTTATCTTTAAGGGGCTGGACACTGAGAGTTTGACCATGCTCCAGTAAGTATATGGGCAACACAAATGGTATTTGGTGTGTTGGGGGATGGGACACAATTGTGGGAGGATAGACTAAGTGGAAAGGGAAGCGAGTGTGATTGGGATGCATTGTATGAAATTCCCAAATAATCAATAAAAAAAATATATTGTGGGGGGAAGAAGAAGAGATAACAGGCCAGGTGGTGGTGACACACACCTCTGATCCTAGTACTCAGGAGACAGATCTCTGTGAGTTCATGGCCAGCCTGATCTACAGAGCAAGTTCCAGGTCATCCAGGGCTACACAGAGAAACTCTGTCTTGAAAAAAAAATTGAAGACATAATAGTTGGGCTGTGAAAACATTGAAATCCAACACAGGTGTGGATAGTAGAAAAAAGAGAGAATCTGCTTTTGCAGGGCAGATCCTGAGGTAAAGCTGTGCATGTGTGGTGATGAAAAGTTACTCCAGGGAACAAAAGTTGGAGCTGGGGAATTAAAGAAGGAAAATGAGGGAATCAACACAGGGAGGAATTCTTGAGTTCAGTGTTTGTGACTCCATCTTACTCCTGATGAGACCTTCTGAGGAGCAACGTAGAGCACATCACAGAATTGTGCTGGTGAGGGATAGAATAGAGTTGTTATTCCTGACCTGCTCCCACATACACAGGTCAAGGGTTTTTTTCATAGAACAGCTCTCTCTCAGATCTATGTTTGTGCATGTGTGAGCACGAAGCAGAGCCTGCAACTGTCCTTCCCCAGACATCCTAGAGAACAGGAAGAGATGACCAATGTGACTGAGATAGCAAGCTTCTGTGGTAGGTAGTTTGAATATAATTGGCCCCCCATAAGCTCATAGGGAGTAACACTATTAGGAGATGTGACTTTGTTGGAGTAGGTGTGGCTTTGTTGAAGGAAGTGTATCACAGGTGGGTAGTTCGGGTCTCCTTTGCTCAAGCTACACCTAATTAAGTTCACTTCCTGTTGCCTGTAGATCAAAGATAAAGAATTCCAAGTTCCTTCTCCATCACCAAGTCTGCCTGCACACTGCCAAGTACCACCACAATGATATTGGACTGAACCTCTGAACTCTAAGCCACCCCAATTAAATGTTTTCCTTTATAAGAATTGACATGATCATGGTGTCTATACACAGCAACAGAAATCCTAAGACACTGTCATATAAAACCTTCCTGAAGCCTGTTGCACAGAAATAACAGGACTAAGAGGTAAGATGTAAGATGTAAGGCAGGATTCAAGGACTATTCCAAACAGAATCACCGGTGGTGATGTTACAGGAGATAATGCCAAGACAAGTCTTGGAACATATTTCACCTGGCCAAGAACTTTGAGCTCAGCAATGGGTTTGCAGCATCACAAAACCTAATTTACTGCTTTGCATATTGGAGTCTGAAGGAAGAGAGATTATCATACTCATGTTTGTATTCAGGATTTCACAATCTATTGTAATCCGTGTGTCTTTTAGCTAAAGTAACCCTTTGTCTCAGTCACTATTCTACAGCACCTCTTATGAAAGAAAATATGTAATTGGGATTTCAGAAGTTAGTCCATTATCAGTCATCATGGCAGGGATTGAGGTGGTAGGCAGACAGATATGGTGCTGGAGACAAGGCTGAGAGTTATACATCCTGATCCATAGTCAGAGAGAAAGACTCTGGGCCTGGTATGGATTTTTGAAACCTCAAAGCCCACTCCCAGTGACATACTTCCTCCAAAAAGGCTACTACTCTTTGTAATACTTTCAAACAGTTCCACTCTCTGGTTATGAAGCATTCAAACATGAGTCTATAGGGGCCATTATTATTCAAACCACCACACCCTCACACAACAAACAACTGACTTAAAACTATCCCACAAACACTCCTATAATTTCAGAAAACACACGAAAAACTCAGAGCTGATTCTTCAATTTCCAATCACTTTATAAAGTTAAATAAAGATAGTACAACTAGTTTGAAATTCAAATTGATGTGAATGACTCTGAAATTTGGATTCATTTTTTTTTATTCACTTTGGTTAACAATCACCATAAGAAAAGTGTATGCTGTGTGTCAAATTATTAACTGATAATTTCTGAATCTATCATGATCATCAAGACACATAAAATGATCTTTTATGTTGCCTTATTCTTGACACTTACCTTTCATCATATTTACAATAAACATACATAAAGTTAAGAAGGAAGAATCTTGCATTGACTCTTTGGAATTGACTTTTCTGCACCAAGAGCTGCTGTGAGAACAGGGAAGGAGAGTTGTATGTAAGACGACTGTGACTTGACTGTACTTGGTAGTTGAACAGTTAGTGGGACAAGACCAAGAAAGGATAAACATAATTCTTGGGCTTCACACTAGAATGATGGCACTTCAGAAATGGATATCTGGAGAGGAGGTGACACAGTGGTCTTTTAAGATGGCTTTCTGTGTTTTCAAGTAAAAGACTCTCCAACTCTTTGATTCTTTGTCCTGGACTCAGCCACATATGGCCCATGCTGGATTTTAATCCTCAGGCTCTAAGTAGAAGTTGGTGTTATGAGCTTCACCCCTCTGCTGTGTGAGAATGATTGCCTGTCTTGCTGTGGAAGAGGTGGCTATGAACCAGCCAGGATAGGAGACCGACTGAAAGGCAGAAGTGGAGCCCTCTTTGCTGTGGTAGAAGAGAAAGGCTTTCTGTACTTTGTTGTCACTGTACATTTCCATGATGTCTACATTCTAGGATAAGAAAGAAGCTTGTTAACAGGGAGGACCAGGGGAGGGGGTGGTAGTAACTGAGCACAGTGAGTGCACATCATGGGAATGACCACTATGCCCAATAGGAGGGACATGGCTTAGGGTTACAGGCAAATGAAAAGGTAGAAAGCTATCAAAACAGGCACCCACTAGTTTCCAAATACCCTGGCTTTTTCCCAGAGTCCCGTGGTGCAAGGGGTTACTGATTCTTTGAGACATTGTGTTCCCTGAAAGAGAATGGGTTAGAAATAGAAGGCTTCTGGCAGGCATTCATCTACAGTTTTGTGCCAACCAGCCTGAGTACCCACCTCTGAATGAATTTATGCATTAAAATTTCCATCATTAGCCAGGGATGAGACTTTTAACTATGTATCTTTTCTTTTAGCACACAGATATGAATATGTACTATGAAAACTCCAGATTAGCAACCCTTTGCCTAAGTGTGACATATTAGCATCTCTGGGGATGTCTAGGAGGGAGCTACTCAGGACTAAGGATGGAGAAGCCACTGTTCCTTCACTTTTCAGAAACATTTCCATGATGAGTTTGATGTTCTGGTTTTCACATTTAAATCCTGTTCTCTGTGGCTTTAAAAAAATGCTGTATCTACTCAGTGGCATTGTAACTTATTTGGGGACCAGCTAGGTAAGGGTTCCTTCCTTATTCTGAAGAGTGAAAACTTACAGGGATATCATTTTTATTCTGTAACCTGATAAGTTACCTTAAATAAAAGTCTATCTGGTATACCTCCCTCACCAGCAGCAGTTACTCACCTTAAGCTGCAAAGTCGGTGTGCCCCCATTTTCAGCACAGAAGAGGCAGAGACTTTGACTCTCGATTCCCAGGATAACTAGATTACCTTTTTCAGTATCTTGGAATTCTGTGTCTCTACATGCTATCAAGCTAAGGCTGACTGGAAATACAAGGAAAATGTGGTGGGTATCAGGCTCCAAAAAATATATAGTCTTTTGATCCACTCTATGAACCCTCCAAATCATCATCATCATCATTTCCCCCAACAAAGCTCCCCACATTAGCCACATAATAGTAATTACTGGTTGCTCTACGAGACCAATTTCCTTTTTCTTCTTGATACCAAAGCCTCAATTGCCACCTGTGCACATTGTTTCTTAAAAATAAAAAAATTAAAATATATTTTACTACCTACTACCATTGAAGCTAAATATAGTCATGCACTTACTGTGGCCCATGATATATGAGTGGAAACATCCTGTAGTGTTTCTAAAATTGTTCCTTAAGAGACTAGACTTACCTGGAAATACTTCATTTGTCACATCTTGTTACCTACATCAAACACTTAAGTGATAGCTTAGGTAAACTTAAGGCTGGTGAAGCAGAAAGGTACAATCCTTGGCCCCTGGTGGCATCATGGAACCCAGCCTGTCCTGGCCCACTGGTTTTACATATGGAAGAAATAAACCACTATCTTATTTAAGTTTTCATTGTGTGAGTTTTCAATCAGTCTTGAGTAAATTTAATTATCTAATAATTTAGGAAGAAATTCCCAAGAGTCTGGACATTCTGTATCTATTTTATGGCAGAGGACAGGAAACAAATCCATTCAACAGCTATTTATTAACTACTCACCTAAGTCAAAGCACTATGTGGACATTGGAGATTTAACTTAGGGCAAGAAATGAAATACTCCACTCTAAGTCTCATATATTGAAGGCTTGGACATTACCTGGAGGCACTATTGAGACATAATCAGATCATGAGAGTCCTGACTTCATCAATGGATTAATCCATGAAGGAGTTCACAATTGAATTAGTTCAAAATTGGATGCAGGAACTAATTGGTCACTGGTGATGTTCCTTTAAAGCAAGAAGGTCAGAACCTCCCCCTGCAACTTCCTGTCTACCATGAGGAGGGCAGCTCTTTTCCACCATACCATGTGTTTGTCTTGACACAGACCTAAAAAGGGAATGCGGCCAGCAGAAGGCTCTGAAAACTCTGAACTTACTAGCCCAAATCAACCTCTAAGTACTAGTTATGGTGATGGTGAGGATAAGCTGCCATACTAATGAAAAGCTGACCAACACAACTCTAGTAAGAGAATTGCGAATGAAGAGGAAGTTTTAGTATTGAGACAGGGATATGATGTGAGAGGTCTCTCTGTGGTGGACAAGGTTAAGAGGGAAATTATATAAAACATGGAAGTTTTAAAGAAGTGAGACAAGACTGACGTGGATTTCCTTTTGATGGGAAGAAGGAATGTTTTATCACTATTAGAAAAGAAGATGCCAAGAGAAAAGAGTGGGTAAGTTTGACAGTGGCAAGATGGGAGAGTTTGAATCTATGGCTATGAGTAGATGCTAGTCAGAATTTAAAGGAATGCCATTCTAAAAAGAAACTTAGTGACTGTGGGACACAAGTCTTTCCTATTTGAAGACACTTTAGTGAGGGGTATTGTTGGCCCCTTTCACTTTCATTTCTATGTATATGTTTTCCTTTGTAACAGGAGGACAATCTTTTTCTCCTTGCCTTTCCTCTGAACATCAGATTGGTGAGCAGGTAAAGAATGGCAGAAGACTTATGCAGGCTCATGTCCACTCGAAGTAAACCTAATGGCTCTTCAAGAGTAACAGTACCCTCCCATGTCACTTACCAGGCTTGACATTGTTCCTAGCAGGCACTGCTGTTAAAGAATTTCCTGTTAGGACCCACACCATCTGTTGGGAGTCATGGATTTTGTAGGTTCTGGGATATAGCTGTCCTGCCAGATAACAGAAAAACACAAGACACAGTTGTGGGTATAACTGGCTTTAAGGTTTGGGCCCTATTCTATTAACATTGAAATGTGAATTTCTGTGATAGATACTATTTTGAGAAAAAATGGCCATGAAAACAAAGGAAGAGAAATGGGGCAAGACTGATTTATAGATCAAGGCACAGGAAAGAACTGAATACATGCTTGGTTGCAAGAGACGTTCGGCATCTGCCAATTCTTCTGGGGTTATCTTTACCTGATTTCTCTGTATAGCAACAACAACCAAAACTACTTAAACCATTCATCAGTATGTGTATAATTTCTTTCTTTATCATCTTAATCTAGTCTGCCAATTCTTCTGGGGTTATCTTTACCTGATTTATAAAGTCTCTGTATATCAACAACAACCAAAACTACTAAAACCATTCATCAGTATGTGTATAATTTCTTTCTTTATCATCTTAATCTAAATGAACAAGCAATCCTTTTTTAACATAATCCTTTATTGATTCTTTGAAATTTCACATGATGCACCCCAATCCCACTCTCCTCCCAGCCCCTTCATATTTGCCCCTCACCCCTCCAGCATGTCCCCCGAAGTTAATTCAAAACAAAACAAAAACTCACTTCACTCTGCCATCTTTCCAACACCTTTATTCATCCTAGTGGCATTGGGAGCTGCAGTGTCTCTCACTTTTGTCTAATCAGCCCCACCCACAAAATGTTCATTACAATCAATCATTGATCTGGTTCAAGACTTCCAACTTCTGGCACACCATCATCACTGGGGCCTCATTGAAACTCCTCTCAAACATCCTGTTGTTGCCCCAGTCATGGAGTTCCTGTGGTTATCGTTCCATGGGGCTAGTCCCACACGGATGCCCAGGGTCTAGATCACATCTTGTGGCCATGTTGGTGTCTGAGAACCATGTCCCAATTAGTGTCAGGCCTATCTGGGTGGTCTGCATAGTTATATGGGACTATGGTGTCATCTAGACCCAGGTTACTTCAGTGGGTCATGTCTGGGTCCATGGCCCAACAGCAGCCAGGGTCTGGCCTGATTTTCCATGGCTTGTGTTAATCACAGGGGGTCATAGGAACTATGTGTTTGGAGATCCAAGGGCAGTGCTAAGCCAGCTCTACCCTCTCAGTGGCCCTGGGATAGCTGAACCTTCCCCTTGCTGGACACTGTAACAGGAGAGTTGACCCCACCCACCATGGAAGAGATGATTCCTCCCCATCCCCACAGACAAGGGAGTGTTTGCCCCAATAGCATGGGCCTTGAAGAGCTGGCCCTGCCCCACACCTGAGGGTGTGGGGTCCCAGTGGTCAGGCACAACCAGCTCAGCTATCACCCAGACCCACAACCTGGGCCTTATGTTGGCCCACCCTAACATCTGCCCCACCTATGACTTGCTGGAGTGAGTGAAGGAACAAAGCAACTCTAAATATAACTATTAAGACAAGAACTAAGAGCCTTGAGGTTTCAGTATGTAGGTTTCTGAGTATTTCAGCCAGAGTAAATAGATTTCTGGTTAAGAAAGTGAAACAGGCCCCTTCAACTCTGTTGTGAAACATTGTTTATGATTTAATAAAGCTTGCCTGGTGATCAAAATGCAAAGCTAGCCACACTAGCCATAGAGGCTAGGACTCAGGGATCAGAGACAAATGGATCTCTGTGAGTCCAAAACCACCCAGGGCTACATGAGAGTGAATCAGTCTAAAAGAGAAACAGAGCTCATGCCTTTAAATCCTAGCACTAGAGAGATATATAAGGAAGAAGCAAAGGGTCTCATGTGAAATTTAGTGTCCAGTCACAGGGAAAGCGAGATCTCTATTTCTGCCTTAGTAGAGGTAAGAACTACCAGTTGACTGCTTTGCTTTTCTGATCTTCAGCTTGAATCCAATCTCTGTATTTTTATTATTCATACTACCAAATTGGTACCCAACATAAAGGTATGAATTCATGAAAAAGCTACTTGCCTGTGGCTTTGAAGCCACCGGTCCCAGGCCAGAGCTGCACATGGAGCTCCCACTGGAGTTCCTGCCTGGCTGACTAGGTTTTGTTTTGTTTTCTCCCCAAGTCTCTGAGTGGGTCTAGGATTTATCTGTTGCAGCCTCCCTGCAGGAAACTCTGCAGGCTTGTGGGCTCCAACACTGCAGGAGTTAGCTGCTTTCACACATTCCCCAGTGTAGGTGCACGGTTCTTTGGTTTCTTTTCTCCTAGTGGGTTGTGTGCTTTCCCTGGACCCCCTGGTCCCCCATCTTAGGATGCTGCCAAACAAGGTAGCTGCTCTGAAACCTGCTCAGGCTTCTACTGTTCTATGCAACAGCAGACAGCTTTATACTTCACCATCATCTGAATCATCATCGACAGCAGATTAGGTGAGACAAATGTGAATTCTTAAAGAAAGGGATTAGCCAAAAAAAGTTTTTTCCCACATTAAAAAGTGGGGTGTTAGTGGTGCACACCTTTAATTCCAGCACTTGGGAGGCAGAGGCAGGTGGATCTCTGTGAGTTCAAGACTAGCCTGGTCTACTAGAGCTAGTTCCAGGACAGCTTCCAAAGCCAAAGAGAAACCCTGTCTCGAAAACCCAAAAAAAAAAAACAAAAAAAAAACAAAAAAAAAAAACTGGGAAACACTATTACAATTGGAGAGAATTAGAGGTCTCTTGTATGATTACACAATGGATGGTTTAAAATTGGAACAAGTAAATGAAGGGATAATCAACTTAACTGGGATTGACATGCTGTTAATTATCATTTTGACAATCTTGGTTGTCAGTTTGATAATTTTTGGTTTATCTCTAAAAAAGCTGGTTAATATGAGTGCCAACAGTGCAGGCCTTAGAAAAAACTTATTAAAGCATGTCATAGAGATATTCAAACCCAGACAGAGAAACTTAAAGGAGAACCAATCTCAGCATTGCATTTTAAGGTTAGAGTGGAACAGTCTAAAGTCTTTAGAAAGCCAACCTTAATATATCCAGTAACCTCATAGGAAGTGCCAAATGATAGAGGTTCTTTAAGAGTTAATTGGATGCCTGTGACAATGATAGATTTAGGGAAATTCAAGGAAGCAGTAATTTCATATGCCATGCATTCACCATTTGTGGAGCAGATGTTAAACATGTGGTCAGTTTGTATTAGCATTATCTAAACTGGATAGATTTGGTTAAAGCTGTTAAAGAGCCTGGTCCAAAATTGCAATGAACTACCTGGTTCAGAGAAGAGGCTAAGACTATTGAACAATGGGCTAAAGCTGGAGGCATGGATATCTCCCAATATAAACTTCTTGGAGAAGGAAATGATGCTACTTTAGAAAAGTAATGTCTATATGATGACCACACTTTGGCTTTATTCCATGCAGCAGCTTTCAATGCTTAGAACAGAATTGGGGAAGTAGGAAAGAATAAAGAATCATTTATTAAAGTTATACAGGGCCCAAAGAAAACTTCACGGATTTCTTACAAATATTGGCTTCAGCAGTAAATAGAATGCTACCAGATTCAGAAGCTAGACAAATAATAACTGAATCTCTTGCTTTTGAAAATGCTAATGCACAATGCAAAAGAGTAATTAGGCTTTTAAAAGCAAGGTCAGCACCTTAGGGGGAATGGGTCCAAGATGCAACTAATGTTGAAGCTCATGACCATGATGATGCATGGATAGGAAAGGTGATTTCAAAAGGTTTGAAGAAAAATTGAAATGTCAAGTGTTTTAATTGTGGCAAACAAGGTCACTTTAAAAGATCTGATAAACAGGGCATTCCTAGAAACTGTTTTTTCTAAGCATAATCCAAACAAAACACCCCCCCTTCTGGATTATGCAGAAGGTGTAGCAAACGTAGGCATTAAACTAATAAATGTAGATCAACAAGAAATATTCAAGGTAATCCTTTGCCATTGGGAAACTCTTTGAGGGGCCTCCCACAGGCCCCTATGCCAAATCTGGTTCAGTTGTTTCCTGTCACCATGGAAACTCCTTCCCAGAGCAATTAAAGAACTTAAGCCTATTGAGAAAAAAAAAACATACTGCTCTGGATAATAGAAGAGCTTAGAAGCTAAAACAAAAATTTCAGGAGAAATCACAAATCAAAATTGATAAAGATTAGATTAGGAAACTCCCCAAAGTTAGAGTTGGGGAAATGTTTTGTTTTCGTCTTTTCAGGAAAAACAAAAAGCAAACATCTTGAAGAATTTAAAGACCTTTGGGCAAATAAGCATCCAAAGTAGAAGGGAGAACAGCCCAGAAAAAAATTACTAAGAAAAGAAAGAATCTGATCTAATGCAATTTCTGAAGTCTCAAAAAAGAAGATGGAACCCCACAATGATGATTCCACTAGGACTGTGACAATGCCACCAAACTTAAAGATCAGCCTCAGACTACAAACTTCTCAGGACAATTTCAAGGTGACCAGCTGATGACTCAGCTCCACAGACACTGCTTAGAACAATTTCGAGGAGGCTAGCTGAGACCATCCAGCCTCACATAATACTCCTGCCAGGACTTGAGACAAGCCCTGCACGTTCCCATTACCAGGAGACTGGACAACAAATGATACAGCTACCTCTCCCAGGACTTGACAATTAACCCAAATTTTTCTTTTCAGGATCCCCTAAAGATGATGTGGCCCCCAGATAGCAGGAAGTAACTTTAATACCCACATTTCCAAAAGGTGAGGTATGTGGTTTTCAGTTATTCAATAGGTCATGAATATTTGTCATTGGTGGGATTGGTTACAAGTTGTTATTGGTAATGGTCAGGAAAAACAGCTAAACACAGGAGATTAGATTCAAAGTTTTTGTTTTGAAAAGAGGGGGATACAGATATAATAGGACAAAAGGATAGATGATTGAATCTACTCTGAAAAGAAAAAAAGGAGGAAATAGATATAAGATAAAAAGATAGATTATTGAATCTACTTCGAAAAAGCAACTACTAGTTTTAAATATTTTATATTGGATTGGAATTAATTTTGTTAAAACACACTGTACATATGTTT